AGTACTTAAAAAACAAAAAAAAAAAAAAAAAAAAAAAAAAAAAAAAAAAAAAAAAAATAAACCGTACGGAATCGCCTATTCACTGTTCGGACTCGCCGATTCCGTACAGTGAATCGGCGATTCACTGTACAGAATCGTCCCGTTCTCTCTAGAACCGGACGATTTCCGATTTTCGAGCGATCCGGTTCCTTTTTCACTATTTCCGAGTCGAACCGGGCGAGTCCGGTTCGACTCGGCGTTTTTTAAAACGCTGCGTGAAACTATTGGCAACCATGCTGAATTCATTGCCCTTGTTCATGGTTTAAAGCTCTTTACCACTATAAATATGGGTTCTTGTTGTGAGGTTGAAGGAGACTCTTTAAACGTCATTAAGTGATGTACCATAAGAAGGTTCTTTGGGAACTCAAGTCTAGTTTGTTGCAAGTGTTGGAACATGGCTAGCCCTCTGACTATTTCCTTTTCACATATTTATAGGGAAGCCAATGAAGTGATTGACTCCGTCACTGGGGTGGAGTTTCTTAACCTCACTTCTTGTGTCCAATGATGTAAATTTCATTTACGTAGTTTATTAATAAAAGCAGTTAATATTTGTCAAAAGAAAAGCAATAAATGTATATTTCCTCTTTTATATTTCAGACATTTCTATTACCCTATGCAATAATTAAACTTTTTATCCTCGTTTTGCAACCCTATACACATCTGATCTTAGCCACACATATTATGAATAAATAAATTTATATAAGATGTTAACCTTATACTTTAGAAGTGAGCTGCACCTCAAAAATCTACTAGAAAATGGTGTCATGAAATTAGAAAGCACTCTAATTGATCATCTCGACCTTGAGATATATGTATATAAAAAATAATAAAAAAAATTTCAAGTCCCAGAATAGTGCATCTTAAAAATAGTGCATCTTATAACAAGTTATACGGACCATCCATTTTCAAGATTTTTAAGTGCTCATATCCCATTAGATCTATACAGTTCTTGAGATTTTAAATTATATAATTAAAAATAAAAATATTCATCACTGGGCAACTTTTTTCGAAAAAATTCAAAGGTACGCCTTAGTTCAGTAGAAGGTGGCAACCTTATATGAACCTCACCTGGAAGCCGAAAATAGACTTGAAATGGTCTATACCCCAACTCACTGCAAATTAGCCGAAATTTCAGGTGAAGAATTTCAGAGGTTTTCGGCCAAAGTGGATCTGTGCAGAGTAGATGGGTCGTTACTTATGTACAGTAACGGCAAAAGCACCTCATCGTGTCGGTGGAGGCATCTGCTGACATAGGATGAATAAATCTGGCCGTCCAAGTGTCACAGCCTCATGGTCCATCTCTGACAGGCTGGCTCCCCTTGGAAACGCACAGTGAGCTGGACTAACCCTGAGTTCGCTAACCATGGTTAACATCACACTTCCCATTGATTACCCTAAACTATATAGCATAATCCCAAACATACCCTTGGTGATTTGTGGTGGTGGATTGTAAATGTTATATTTGTGGTCAATTTACTTCATAAATTTTTTTTTTTTGGACAAAGCCATTCGATAGCGAGCATAGATAACGTTGAATTATCAAATAACTGATATTTTCAAGCAGCAATTTAGAAATTGTAAATTCATAGTGAAATCGTCGAACCAGCTTGAAATCGGAAACAAGGCAACTCTTATTCAAAAAATTGAGAATCAATGATTCACTTGATGTTCCAAATATATCTTTTTTTGGTGAAACATAAACTGATCCCACTTAGTAATCATCGAAGTCAAAGGGGTGAATACCGATCGAATCCATCTGGTTTCGGGGCTTGATTTTGGTTTTTAAACATTGCTTCTAAAGACTATTGGGCTATCTACTTTTCGTAATCCAGCTATAGACTTTTAATAATCCATCCAAATAAATAAAAAATCCAATAAATCGGGAAACATTGGATGGACGATCCATGTTATTCTCACCCATGTTATGGGTGGCAGAATCAATATCAATTAGTTGGATGACCATAAAGGGGGTGGCCACCGTTGTTAAATTGCCTATTGTAGTTGTATTATTCTATTTTTGTGAATTATTAACTCTAAGTGAGCGTGTTCTCACATAATTAGGAATAAATCAGTATGTGGTGGGGCTTAATATCGTTGTTACTTGTCAAATCTGACAGTTTGGTGTGGGTTACATATTTGAAAAAAAAAATTCGGACTTTGAGCTCTATCAATTTTCTAACAAGTCAACAACTCACTTTCACATCCAACAGCCAAACGACGATTGTTCATTTACGACTTTTTGGTACTTAAAATTATTACATTTATCAAATCTAAGAAAGTAATAAAATTAATTCAAATACGTTCCATACAGTACGTGATTAAAACATTATAGAAACCTATTATTGAATTATCCATTAATGGCCCATATCAATTCCATTTTAAATTCTTACTACAACAATAAGAAGCACCCAAAGCCTTCTTTAAGCAATTTTTTACCTGCCCTCTTTTTATTGTCCGAAAGAGATAGCATTGCCATTTTATTAAGGGAAAAGTTTATATAGAGCCGAGGCTCTAAACCATCTAATTAGAGCTTACTTAAAAAATTTTATTAAAAGAGGTTGTTTTTATTCCCAATTATCCTCAAATTGATCATCGCGATATCAAGATGTATAGACATGAGAAGAAATTGGATTTCAAGTTTTGGAAATAATGTATTTTGTGATGTATCTTTAGACCGTCAATTTTTAAGATTTTCAAGTTTTTCTAGATCTGTTGATCTACATTATTTTTTAAGCTTTGAACTTTATAAATAAAGATGAAAAATATATTTTAAGACTATCACAAAGAGTTCCAATATTGAAACCACCTTTCTCGACACTATTTGAGGGTAGGCTCCAATTTGATTGTTTAGAAAATATGCTCTATACAAACCACACCCTTTATTAATTTCATTTTATCTTAAATAATAAACTCTCGTTTTTTTTGGTAAAATTTAAATGATAAAAGTCTCCCCTTTTTCTAAAGTTTAAATATCCATCCAAAGTTTCCCGAAATTTCGAGACAAGGGCAATTTGGGGAAAACAAAATCAGTCGGTAAATCAAGAGAGTATATACAATGAAAAGTTAGTATCAATGTGAAACCAGGGCACGCATGTCATTACCATTCTTCACCAGGCCATTTCAGGTCCCCATCCCCACTACTTAGTATTCAGCTTTTAGCGCTCACTCCTCACTTCGCATCTCACTCTGCTGCAACTTCCTCGCCGGAAAATTCCCAGATCCCACCGGGAAATAGCCACTTCTTGCCGGAGAAATTCTCTGGCAAATAGTATTCCTATCATTCCGTACTAATCGGCGGAAAATTCATCTCAATACTCACCAGAGAAACATTTGAAGGTCTTCCCTCCCTGTACCCGAAGCTCATAAATTTATTTGCCGGAGTAACTTTCCGGCAACACAATGCGGCAGTTTCCGGCGGCTCTCCTCTTCTTTCTGTGCCTGATCTCTGCAACTTCCGGCCACAACATCACCAAAATCCTTGCACAGTTCCATGAGTTCTCCAAATTCAATGACTATCTCTCCAGAACCCATCTCGCCTCTGAAATTAACAGAAGAACCACCATTACAGTTCTCGCCGTCGACAATGCAGCCATGGATGATATCTTGGCCAAGAACTACGGCATTTATGAGATCAAAAATATTCTCAGTCTACACATTTTGCTCGACTATTTCGGCGCCAAAAAGCTTCACCAAATAACGAACGGAACGGCGTTAGCTGCGACGCTATATCAGACAACCGGATCGGCACCCGGAACGTCGGGGTTCGTGAACATAACGGACGAGAAGGGTGGAAAAGTCAGTATTGGAGCTGATGATAACGGTGGCGTTCTCGATGCCTCGTACGTTAAATCGGTGAAAGAATTGCCGTATAACATCTCCGTGTTGCAGGTCAGTAAGATTCTGAATTCGCCATCGGCCGAGGCGCCGGCCCCGGCCCCTACAGAGCAAAATTTAACGGCGGTAATGACGAAGAAGGGATGCAAGCTTTTCGCCGACCAGTTAACGGCAACGGGCGCCGAAAAAACGTTCGTGGATGCCGTTTCAGGTGGGCTAACGGCGTTTTGCCCAACTGACGATATCTGGACGAAATTCGTCCCGAAATACAAGAATTTATCGGCGGATCACAAAGTTTCGCTGCTTTTGTTTCACGGTGTTCCCATTTACCAATCGATGCAGGGGTTGAAGTCAAATAACGGGCCCATGAACACATTGGCAACGGATGGGGCGGCTAGTTACTCCGTTACGGTGCAAAATGACGGGGAGCAGGTAACATTGAAGACTAAGGCCGTAACGGCCAAGATAACGGGGACCATTATAGACGAGGACCCTCTTGCCGTTTTCAGTATAGACAAGGTCTTGCAGCCCAAGGAGCTCTTTGCAGGGGCGCCGGCGCCGGCCCCGGCACCGGAGGAGGCCGACTCGCCATCGCCGTCTTCAGCCAAGGTCGCCGCAGGCCCTGCCTCGGACTCGCCTGATGATGCCCCTGCCGATGATTCTGCTAATGATAACGGATCCGTTACAATTCGTGGCGGGTTATTAGGTTTTGTTATAACAGTTCTTTTGGTTGTCGTGGTTTAGTGGACAGGCGTGGATTTTCTCTCTCTTCATTGGGTTTGTGGTTTTATGTGGTGGACATGTGTGACGTTTCTCTCTCTAACAATTTGTTGTTGGGGGGATTTTTCGCACATGTGCTGGGGAGATTTCTTAGTTGCCACGTGTGAGTTTTTTTTTTATAAATGTTGTGTATGAGTGGTTTGTTCATGGGATACAAGGGAGGATTTTCTCACACGTGTAGGAGAGTGTGCGGGTGTATTATTTTCGGGAATAATTTGTATCCCCTTCTTATTTGTTTTTTTTTTTTTTTTTCTTATATATAGTCTGAGTTGGGTTATTTGTTGATGGAAAATTGTTTGATAGGGCTGCAGCCCTTTCATCAAAATAAGTAAAGCCTCACGTTATAATTCATCAGAAATTACAATTCAAGCATTAGAAAATCTTTACATTGATCATCTTGGCGTGAACATTATGGTTGTAGAAAAAATAAAAAGGATTTTGAGCTCTCCAAATATAGTCATTGTAACAAATTATCTAGACTGTCTATTTCACATTTAAAAAAAATCTTCATATCCATAAGATTTGTATAATTTTTTTAGTTTTAGATTTTTATTGTCGGTGTTGAAAATTGATTTTACAGCCATTATAGAAATTTCCGTTGTCGAAAGTGCTTTTTGGACGAGGATTCGAAATGAGATTTTATTTTGTTTTCATAAATCCTAGGCTTTATAAAAACCTCATTATAAGGGTTGTTTAGTTGAGTTTATTTATGATGCAAGCGGGATTCTCCTTTTAACTTTAATACATAGACAAGGTTTCTATGAGTCGTCATGTTTAAATGAATCTTCTTCAAATTTTATTTTAGAGATGGCTGTTGGATTAAAATTTTTAAGGAATGAAAATCATGAGCATCATTAGGAATCTAAAAACTAAAAAAATTGAAATTAAACTTTAACACTATCCATTGTATATTTTTGTGGGGCTACCATTTGCTAACATCCATCTCCAAGATGGATGCGAGCTATGATAGAAGTGTGCCCTGTGTCCCCGAGATGAACCTCACCTTTGAAGGTTCTTTGCACAGGGTAATAACGTTCATGGCGTCCTCTTCAATAACAACCCAACTATTTATTAAGACACCGAGCACCATGCCTCAACACCCACAATTATGCTATTGTCGCAGGAAAATATCTCAACACCTTCATGATCTCTTAGATAGCCACCACATCCTAGTTGAAGGTCCAAACCTTTCGAGATGCCATCAAAATTTAGCTTTAGCTTTACCCGTTAGGGGTGAACCACCTTGCATCAGGCATCACTCTTAAATCCAATTAATCCTTTGATCTCCAATAGGAAATCCCACTCTACACAATCAAATGATTTTTCAAAGTCCAATTTACAAATCAGTCATGGCTTACCTTCCTCTATCCTGGAGTGAATGGTTTTTGTGCCATCAAAACACTATCTGTAATTTGACGATCGTAAATAAAAGTTAATTATGGGGCCCTGGATATATCGTTAAGCACCTTTTTCAATCTATTAGCAAGGAGTTCTTGAATAATCTTGAAGCTATTGTTAGCATAGCAGGCTAATGGGCCTTATGTCATCCAATGACAACTAATTTCTTCTTCAGGAGATAATTGCTTTAATAACATTGCCTCTATGGTAGAATTCCTGGAACATTAAAAAGATGTCTTCATTGATGGTAGAACTCCTGCTCACAAGATACAGCAAGAATCCCTTGGTGTTTCCCATTAGTTTCTCTTTGTCCTTTTCAAATGAATCTATTAGTGGCTTAGCACGGAAGGGGTGGGCCGGGGCCACGGTCCCTTCAGTGCAGTGCAGTCCATGCCAGACTAGGCCTAAGCCGACCCTATAAGGATTTGGGCCAAGGCAGGACTGGCCTAGGCCGGCCACATGCCAACCCTAAAGAAGTAAAAAAACCTAGCTCCTACTCGCTTGGATTCTACTTGAGTCTCCCTCAATATGACTTGGGTGAGCCTGGAGACTGAGGAATTTTTGACAACAATGATTTTAGAAATACTGAAAAATTAGGAGATGTGCAATTCTGGCGCTCATGCCAGTCCCGATTCAGACAAGTCATTATTGGAAGACCAATTACACCAGCTATTACAAAAGTATAACACCCCCTTCAACCAAATTTGTTTGGATAGCTCAATAGAAGGATTTAGTGCTAAAAAACTCGGCAGAGTCAACTCAAAATTGGCCAAGTTACTCGACTAGGCCTATGGCCAAGGCGAGTTCTCTAACCACTTGGGTTCATGGGAAGCATGTGGTACTACGACAAGTATTGTGCATACTCAACCAAGTACCATACAACTCGTGAGAAAGCCCGAGTTCTATAGTATGTTGGGCAAGTATGCATAGTACTCACTCGAGTGCTATCAGCCCCTTATTTTATCTCTTTCTAAAATGGTGTAGAAACATGCTCCCTTTTATTATCTCACATTTTTCTCTCTGTTATTCTTTAATTAGCACAGTCTCTAGCTCAACCATGGGAGAAGCAACCCCTAAAGGTCGTGATTTGTACCAAGTATTCTCTCTTCCGAAGAGAGGTAGATTCTGCCCCTTCTTTTCATGCTAGAAAAAAGACATGGCCAAGGAAGGGGGGGAGAGAGAAATGTGGCCAGAGATGTGGTCAAATATGCTCTCACTCTCTCTCTCTTGGCCAATACATGCTCTCTCTCTCTCTGGCCTTTTATAAAAATGGGAAGGACTTGGGCAAGTCTAGTTGGAGTTGCTGAGTTACTCGGCTGGAGCAGGGGCCCGAGCAAGTGTTGCAGTTGCCAGCTTTGTATATATGGGCAATCTCTCTTCTTAATTACGGTTTTTTTGCCCAAAATGGATTTCTTGGGATCTAATTTCCAGAAATTGTTCTCTTATTTGATCATCTACTTGGAATTCCTTGAAGAAATCTAATCTTTCATTGTTGGGAAAATTTGGGGAAGGGTTTTTCTAGGAGTCTACATTTTGAGTTCTCTTGTGAGAGGGAACTTTGAACAGGCGGTTGTAACTGTTGCGTGAGTGTAGCCGTTTTC